TGCATGCTGGGCAACACATGCACTTAACTCTCCTTTCTTGGGTATTATTAAATATAGGATTAAGTTAAAGACATATATGCCTATAAAAAGGCATTGTAACCATTTGCAGTCTTAGCTTGAACTGCATGTGCCATATATAAAAACATATATGACACTAGTTTCCCACCACCATAAATGCTAATGCATAGAAAGGAAAGATGAGGAAGACTGAGGCCGGGGCAAACTCTTCTGAGTACAGTGTTGCTGATATGCTGGAGTAGCTACCTAAAAAGTAGGCTTGTCTTTCATCCTGCAAAGAATTTTGTTGGTATTGACAAAATTGTCTGTACTTTGAAGTCTCTGCTGAAAGATGGGCTAAACCCAGAAGAAATAAATAGAAGTTTTTGCCTTCCACAGAGTTATGTTTTATTTATAAATTACATTAAACTTACAGAGTGATTGTCATGGACACCCGCGCAGGGACTGGAAAGGAACATTTGTGAGAAAAGAGTTGACAATCTCCTCAAGTTAACCCATGGGATTCTTCACTCCTCAGTCTCCTGCATCTTTTAAACGTACTTTAAGGTAAACATTTCTTAGTTGTACTTTTCATAGAATCAGCCACGTTGTAAAAGACCTCCGAGATCATCAAATGCAACCCTTGATCCAACACCACTGCAGTTACTAGACCATGGCACTCAGTGCCACATCCAGTCTCATCTTAAAAACCTCCAGGGATGGAGAATCCACCACTTCCTTGGGCAGCCCATTCCAATGTCTGATTACCCTCTCTGTAAAAAATTTCTTCCTAATGTCCAACCTAAACCTCCCCTGACACAGTTTAAGACCATGCCCTCTTGTCCTACTGCTGGTTGCCTGGGAGAAGAGACCAACGCACACCTGGCTACAACCTCCTTTCAAGTAGTTGTAGAGAGAGATGAGGTCTCCCTGAGCCTCCTCCTCTCCAGGATAAACAACCTCGGGTCCCTCAGCCTCTCCTCATAGGACTTGTGCTCGAGTCCCTTCACCAGCCTCTTTGCTCTTCTCTGGACCTGTTCCAGCACCTCAATATCCTTCCTGAACATTATTGCTTCATCACTACCCTTGTTATAGCTATGGCTCATTTAGATGTTGTATACATTATATGCCCATCTTTTCTCTTAATTCAAGTAAATGGAAATATTTCAAACAATTTCCAGCATGAAGATCGCTTCAAGTCTCAAGCCACACTTTCCTCCCTGATTATTACAACCACGTCTTCTTTTTAGCTCCTATCAGTTCCAGAATTGGCATTGCTGGGCACCAAACAGTGCTGTACAAAGCTGTCTTCCTCCATCACAGACCTTGATAAGGGTGCCTGTGCTTCTATGACAGCCTGCTGTAACTTCCTCCGCTACAGTTTCTCATGTCCTTTCACTGAAGATAAAACAAAAACCCTTGGTAAAGGAAAGGTTTAAGGAGATCTTACCAACGGACCTGAGTGACAGGAAAAGTAAAAAAGTAGTAGTGTCATTAACAAAAGTATCAGTGTCAGTTCAAGGTTGGAAAGCGAGACTGCTCCCTCTGCAAACACCCATAAGCATGATCCTTGACTTTTCATGTGGAGTCTATTCTGAATCCATTAGGAATGTACAGAGAGATTGCATTTAACTTTGTAATCTGGATTATTTTTGGAGGAAGATGTAAGAGCATGTTTTCCAGTAAAATCATACAGATTTACATTTCCAGATGGGGCTGTGGAAAATTAGCCTTCATTACTATGGAGAAAAAATGGTATCACCACTAAGGTAACTGAAAACAGAAGATTGCCTTTGTTGGGTGACTGGTGCTACAAACCTTCTCTCAATTCCTTCTGTCTATGGAAATTGACTTGAGTGTAGTACAGTCTAAAAGGGGTCTTTAATTGGATTGTAACCACTGAAGTTTCATGAAGAAATAGCACACATCACCAAAGTAAACATGAATAAATGTGGTTCAGTTGCTATCCTAATATTAACCTCAGCATTTCATTCTGAAATACAGGATAACTCATAACTAATAATTTCATTTTCTCATAACAAATATTAAATCTTGAATCAATCACTCATACAACTTCTTAAATTAATATAAAGAAATCAAAAGCATGTCAAAATAAAAAAAAAACCAAAACATGTTTTGCAGGGCTTTAAAGAAGGACTTTGATATATGTATCTAGATATTTACTAATTTCTGAGAGCTACCATTTTTATAAGGTATTTAACTGAGTTAAGTCATCTGCTCTAAGGTCATAATTACATTTGAAGGTGGAGAATGTTCAAAGATCCATCAGCATTCAAGGCACAGGAGGAATACTAAATCTTATGATACTTGGTATTATTTTCACTTCCACACTAGGCCATACAGATTGAATCCACACAGGAAGCCCTCTTTCAAATTAATCTTAGCCCTCTCTTACACAGACCATGAAGGCTCCACAATTGAGTTCTGAACAATCTGCAGACTGTTTTGGGAACCAGCATTACCTTTTTAGCCCAGCAGCTAACATGTCTATTCGGGGCACTCAAGCATGACAAGCACTCCTGTTTTTAATCTCTACTCCTCCAGTTATCTCTGACTATTTATCAATTTCTTCATAGGTTATGAAAAGCATTAAATCATTAACCAGGAATTTTAATTTTTAATATATACTTGTATATGGTACGCAGTCATATTCCTTCTCATAATCAGTGAAGTACATGCTGTGCAGTGGATTATATTCTCATGCTTTTCCTATTAAAAACTGCATCTTAAATCACACCACAATATGGTCTTTTGCAGGACTCAGGAGTATTGCCATTTGTGTCCTACCATCCTTATCTAATGATTGCTTAATTTTTGTCTTTTCATCTCCTATGGTCTTTAAATCTTTCCCCTTTACTAAGGCTCAGGTATTGCATATGAAAAGTGTCACTCAAAACACATGCTGAATTCTTCTACAATATGTTAATTGCAGAAAGGAGTGGGGACCAAATGAAGTATTTCTAGTGCATGCTGGGAGACATCTAACACTAATATGAGGCATTCCCTGCTACTGCCTCCCCCATATTGAAGACTAGGTGAGTGCTCTTTAATATTTCATTCTCAGGCTTGGGGTGTGTTCTCTAGCTGCCCAGTTTCCATGGCAGAAAGGGAAACTCCATTCCCACCAGCTGTTCCCTAGGCTGCGACTGTGTCTTTGTGTCTCTCCTTCTTCTGAAGGGCTTATATTTCATACACCACCCACAAATGATTGGGCAACAGTCACAGGCACAAAGTTTAGATTCGTATCTGAACAGCCTCGGCAAATCTGGGAACGTATTTAGGCTCAGTACCATCAGAGTTAAAGACCCAGGCTTCTTTCTCTCTTTACAGAGGAGGAGACATACTGTGTAGGGAGAAGCTGTGCAACTACAGTATAGAACTGATAAAGATGCATTAATTGTCAAATACTGTACACCCTTCAGAATTTTCATCCTCACCATGGGGCTAATGTACACACAGATCTTGCTGTTTGGATCAAAAGACAATGAGGTTTTTTTTGTTGTACTCTGAACATTTTTCTTTGTATTCATTGAGATTCAATGATATACTCTTTATAGAGATAGGAATCACTCTGCCATTCCTCCCACCAAAAAGAAAGAAAAACCATTTGACCTATTTATAAATGTCAGCTCGTTCCAAATGCTGAGACTGCTTCTGGGATCAGGTGTTGGTCATGGGGTTGAAGGCCTTACTCTCCTTGGAGATTTGCAGGGTGAAAGGACAATGTGTCATTTTCCACCAAAATCCTAAGAGCTGCAAAGGCAGCAAAGATGTCACCTCTGTGCCACTCCACGGTGATAAAGATCACACTGTACCTTTCCCATGCAGCCATGGGTAGCAATCCCAACTGGATAATGACTCAGAAAGCAAATTGAAATCTCCACAATTAACTATACTGTGATGTCTGTGTGCCTCAGTGTGTTCACATCAATGTGGTTCCATGACAAAAAGAAAAGGCTCAAAAGCTGTGCTTCAGGACAGAAAACACCACTGCTGTTGAACTATGTTGTGGATGAAGCCCCTTTAGTTGCTTTTAAGTTCCAGACAAAGAGGGTGTGATGTTGTGATTACACAACTCACCTGTCTAAATGTTTTTACCTAAAATTTCAATATTTGAGAAATATTCAATAGTCTTTGAGCTATTTAATGAAAAATATTTCAAAATAGTATGTATACCTTGTTGGTGAGTGACATAACACAACATAATCTATGGAAAAACCAGCATTCTTCAATACTAATCATTGAAATTCCTTTACTATGAACACTTTTTCATCAATTTAAAAAACGTTGTAAGAGAACAGAGTTCAGTTGTCACTTGAAAGTTTCTAAATGCAGGAAGGCTTAATTTTACCAAAGAAACTCAAAGCAGTGACTTCCAGAAGTCTTACAGAAGATTTTTACCCAGGCTTTGCATTATAATAAACCATCTATGATAATATGCAAAAAAAATCCTTTTGAAACAGCACGCTGAAAGCAGCAGCTGTCAGGCACTGTAAGTGATAACCCACCCCTCTACTACTGGTACCCAACAGGCAAGAAATTGGATATTTAACATGGCCAGGTAGCTTTAATATCCCCACCAGTATTTCTTTTGTCAAAATGATCTGATAACGGCAAAGATTCATACTTTAAGCTAAGTTAGGTGCTTCATCTCTCAGCAAATTCGAAGCAGAATGATAGATTCTGCTGAAGAAGGATTTCAAGGACCAAAGCTATGAGCTTCCTCTCTCTGTGTACTCTCTACAGAGTTTAGTTTCACTGTAATAGTCATGTAGGTTGGAAATTGTCAGTCAGATCTTTCCTCTACCTCAAGAAAAACTAAAATCACAGACATATTTCTGATTGGAAAGACAAAGGATCCCAACTAAGGTTAGCATTTCTTCTAAGCACTATGTTAGATACTCAGAATGTCATTCTGAAGTTTGTGAAATAGGGGAACATATCAGACTATTATACATACATTAACAACTACACATGTGTAAAAATAACTTCAAAAAAGACTTTCATATGTCAGATTTTCAATAAACAAAGTATTTAATTTAACACAATGGAATTTACATTATGTTTTCTTTTTAACTTTAGTCACTGAAACATAAATTAGATTTTAGGCAGCTGCTTTGTCTGCCCATTACCTTCCCTACCTCCTTTAATATTTTTATGTTCACTGGTTCTAAGATTTCTTTCTTGTTCATTTTTTTTATAATCCAGGACGCAATTACTTCTCAGCTGATAGTGCAACTCTCTGAAGAGAGCAATCCTTCTTCGTAAGACTGGCTGAGGCCAAAAATAGCTCTGTCAGCTTCTGATAGGCTGAACTTAGTCAAGTGAAATGTTTTAACATTTTATCAACTTAATGAACAGTCTTATTTATAATGTGGACAACTTCACTGTCGTTGTATGCAGACTACTGAATAGATTATGGAATGCGTTTGTTTGGGGAATGCTGAATATAATAGAAAATAAAATTTTTGACCAAAAAGTAGTTGTCTTATATACTGTAAACAATTTAAAGATTAAATATTGTTTGCCCATTTGAAATAAGGGAATGGCTTAATGGTAACATCTATAACTGTAAACATACCTGAAGAAAGGAATCTCACAATGACAAATAACTAACTGCCAAATCATGAAGATTTTCAATATGCAAAAATGACCACTATAAAATTCTATAACCAGTTTAAATATTAAATATTAAATATTATTATTAATGTAACACTGGAAATTAATATGTAGACTAAATATCTGCAGATACTTTTAGTACTTTATAGTAGAGTGAGAAGGTTAAAAGTAAGAAGTCTAACAGAAAAAAAAGTGTGGGTTAACAATTGCTTACCCTCTTTTCTGCTACCTCATCCTCTCCTGTAGACTCTTTGCCATCATGTTCATCTCTCAGGGTTGGCATATGCTTTTTGTGTGCTGGCTCTCTGTTTAAAGTTGTATATCCTATGTGTTCATAAATTGGATTTATTGTCATCTTGGAAATGTATTCAGCTGCCTTCGTTTCAATATAAAGAGTAATCAATCCATCTGTCACCAGGTCATGGATGGACTCAAAACGTTTCTCCCCAACAAAGTGCTTTCCATCGTAGTAGAGTCTGAAGTTTCTGGTTTGACTTCCAAATCTGCCTCAATGAAATGGGAAAGTGGTTTTTTTTAAAGAACAGTAAGCAGAATAAATAAGAGTAAGCAAGCCTTTGCAAACAACTAAAAACACTTTATCACTTAAAGCTGTGACTATGCTCTGTGTCTGGTCCAGTTGAGTGGAGAACCACTACTGAGCACACATAGGAAGGAGAAAACAACAACAACTGCAGATAGATAGCCAAAACAGTGACTGTCCCAGAAGGAGCTGTTTGTTCTTTTTTTCTTTTAGCCTCTCCATTATCCCATGGAAAAAGTGAAAAATTATTTCACACTCTTTATGGTTTTTTTTAGGACATTACTACTACATCACCATAGTCAATTCGCTTGGCTCTGATATGAAGAGTTCTCATAATAGAGTCTTCTATTACAGTTGATCAATATGGAGTTTTGATGCTGTCTCAGACCTCTGCGCCCCTGCTTGCTTGCAAGAAGAGGCCATTCAGGGTTCAGCTGAGCTTCAGTGCCAACAATTACACTGAAGCAGAACTGCTGCCAGAACTGGAGCAGCACAGGACAAAATGGCACAAGGGCAAGCATTCTTTATTCCTGGCCAAAGGCCCAGGACTAACTCTTCAAGCTTGGTACAAAAGTCCTTCTGTGTTATGCTTAGTAAGTCCCAAGCTTCAAGCAAATCTCTGTAATATACAGGATATATAACATGAAAGCTATCCAACACTGGCATCAGGGTGGAATAGGATTTAGATACGGGCTCTTAGCAACCATAAGAACGCCAATTTTACCTGAACGGTAGCATATTTTCACAAACTGTACATAGAATCTGCAGCAATTTTCTGCCTCTAAAGCAGTCTAAACATGAGAAAACACACTAGTGTTTGCACTTGGCAACAACCAACACACTTCCTGAGGAGAAGATGGAGGAAAGAAGCTGCTTTCACAGCTCACTCCAATGTTGTTCCTTGGTCAGTCAGCAGCAAGGGTACTGGGCCCCCTTACAAGGTCAGATCTGCCAAATAACTACTAAAAACTAAATCTGAAAGGATGGATTGCTTTCACTTTACAATCAAATGCTTCACAGGAGATGTTAAGAAACACAGTAAACACTGGTACTTTGTTGAAGTGGCTCCTCTTCTCAGTGGGGCCTTGCCAAACAGCAGAAAGTATAATTAATTTTAGACCTTGCCTCAGGTAAAATATTGCACTCTTCTTGAAAATATGGGCAAAACCCCATGGTTCTGCAATCTGCATTTTTTTCTGTGTTCTAAATCAAAATGCCAAACCTTCCCATCCCCCCTATCAATAGTCTGACAGTTACAGCAATTTCAGAAGCTGTTATTTCCACATAAAACTCAAATGTGAAGGGGCCCTCAGGAATCTGCATCCTGCTCAGTAAGGAAAGAGAATATGATGTGTAGGAACTACATGGGCATTTTACTGCAAATTAATAGTTACTTCCATGCACATTTTTATGCCACACAAACTAGAAGTTCATTGAATCAAACTGAAATGCAAGAAATTACAAAATGACAGAAAGAAATAAATTTTTACTTGATCCTAATTTCATCACAAGATGCAGTTCTGAGTGAATACAAGTAATTTAGAAAGCAGAAAGATAATGTAAGTTACAGAAGAAGGGGTAGATGCGTTCAGGTTCACTCTTCAGGGCATCTTTATACTCAACAGAGTGTTTGGCAAAAAAGCTTTGACCACGAGACATCCTCCTTGTATACCCTTGACTGTCAGAGAAGTCAACATGAGCCAAGAGTGCTCAGCACTTTGCAGTGCCAAAATGAGCAACCTTCACTGTCATCTGCTCAAGTCAGTGGGAATAATGCACACTGAGCACATACAAGCACCTTGATGTTAAACTTCATTGGGAGAACCAAATAAGTTTGAAGGTGAAGAATAATGGGCCTTAAATAACAATATACATTAGAATGACTTTTATTAAGAGATGTAGGTGAACTGCTGCTCTAATCAGTAACATCTGCTCTGACAGTACTTAGAGCAGAGTTTTAAACAAGCTGAAGGTCATTTTCTGCTCTCAGCTTTCTAGAAGAAAAAGTATTACACTAATCTCATCAAGAGAAGATAAGGCACAGAAAAACATCTCAGGGCCTATTACTAAGTGTGCATGGTGCCTTGACTTTAGCAACACCCCTTGAAGTCTAAAACTAGTTCTGAAGAACAAGACGACCAAATACAGAGAACAAACATAAGTTCTTAGAGGGTTAGTCCTCTTTCCATCAGGGTCAGAAGGCATGCACTCCTACTCCAGGTATGTTTTACTGAGCAGCCACTATGCTCTACATCTGTTCAGACTGCTGCACATAAAGTGTGTCTTTGAGAGATACTATAAGGAATAGGATTTCCAAGAGATGAATTGTTTGCCTTTATCTATTTTCTCATTTGTTCCAAACCAAACTTTTTAGTCTATTATTTTCTTATTGGATACATTGTGGAGAAACACACTGTTTTTCAAATAGAATCCTATTAGTAGCAAGGAGATAAACCCCCCAAAATCCCCACCAGTCAATGAAGCACCAATCTCCTACAAAAACTGTATCATCAATAGTGTGTCTCAGAATCCTGTTTTCTTTCAAATTAATTAAAATTTTTCCAGACCACACAATGACACTCTTTTGATTAAATTACAATATAAAAACAAATATACATGTTCAATTGAAAATTATTAATTAAAATTTAATCTTCAGTCCCTTCAGTCTTACTTAAAACTATGGTTTAAATTTTTCCATTACCAAGACTATTTTTCTTATGTTTACTTCCTATAACATTCCTGAAGTCTTGTTAATTATACATCACCGTGGCAACTAAGTAGAACCAAGATTTGATATTTCAACTTCCTGATGGTCTCTTCCTAGAGACAAGCACTAGTACCAGCTGGCTTTTGTTTAAGAAGTAGAAAGCAGGACACAGATAAAGTATGTTTTCTTTTGGTTTAAACAGGGGAGCATTAGATGTTTTTCCAAGAAAAAGAAAAAGGCCTCTGACATGTCAAACAGTCTCATTGTGTCCACTGCGCATTTGTTTGCAAGCAGCAGGACTACAGATAAAAGACTTTTTTTATTCCAAGTTGTCTGAAAAGCAATCACTTTGTCTAGTTCCTTTGGTTGCCAATGGGGCAGAGTGGATAACAACGTGGGAAAATGTATTAAACGGCAGAGCAAATGTGGCCAGTAATAAAGGGCCGAGGAGTTGAAATAGGTATCATACCATGAGAGAACAGAATAAGCCACCTACCCTGGATGTAGCATTCACTGAAGAAACAAAAGGAAGAAGCAAAGGACCGAGAGCCCATACATACTTTCTTACCATCTGAGAAGATGGATTTTTCAGTCCACATACAGAACTGTACAGTAGCTATTCACCACTTACACGGGCTATTTTATGATGAGAAGACTTTCTGGACAAAGGCGTTATTTAGAATATGTAGCTGCAACCACACCACAAAATTAATGCCCCTCAGGACTACTCGTGTCCTCCTTAGTTTCAAGCAACTTCATACACTGAACTGGGAAATGGTAAGCCTGAGCCTAAAGGTCACTTGGACTTAATCTTCCCTTGGAGAAAGAGTGTCTTAATGTACTTTGTGGCCAGAAGGTAGAAGTCTTACTTAAAATCAGGTGCCAGAATTTCAGTTCTAACTTCTGAAAACTCTCAACCAACACTTATGACCAGAGACTTGACACTCCATAAAAAGCCACAGGAATATAAGCAATATTGCAATCAGGAATGTCTCCTAATCATGCTGTGTTCTTGGAAATGAAAACAAATTATTCCACAGATCCTCTTTTGGCCCATTTCCTTGTCAAACAAACATAAGCCCTGCATGCAGCCAACACCTCTACACAGTTATCACTGAAGGTCTCCAACTCCTGAGAGCAGCTCCTTTTTAAATTTTATTTAATTATTTATTGGCAACAACATTTCTGAGAATGGCCAGGAATGAGGAATTGTGGAACTTGCCAACTTTCCAGAGTACCTGCCTGTATCAGAGGTTAATTACGCTGATACTTTTGGTCTGTGTGTGGCCCAGCCACCTGTAAAAGTTTTGTTCTTTCCCCGCCAAGTTATGAGAAAACAAGTACTGATAAACAGGTACTTCCTCCTTAGAGAGAGAGCTTCTTGTATAAACTGTTTTAATTGGTGTTCTGTGATTGGCTCATCATCTGTCAAGGACATTTGAAGGAGAAACCGAAGGGGAGTTGATGAGCCCTCAGACTCAATTAGAAAAGACCCTTGAAGCCTACTGCATATGTGGAAGGGAAATTCCATGAAGAAATGTCAGCTGATCAAGGAGTATGTATGTTATTAATATGCAGTCAGATCACTTGATACTTAAGGTAACTGTTACTGTTCTTGATCAGTGATAAACATTTGAAAATAATCTGTTTGCTTCGAACAGATGCATTATCTCTCCTTAGTACTGTGCTTACATGCCCTATTCCATTTAAACTTGATATAAGTTGCTGGGATTGATTTGATGATTGTATCAGAATCCATACCAATGTTTTAGGCAATGTTTTACTGCCTTTCCTACCTGATGAAAGTTCTGTACTTCCTGCAAAAAGACTCACTGTGGTTATAGGTTGAGACACATTTGAATTCCATATACACGTGGGAACATATTAAAAGCCTTCTCTTTAATTGAAACCTACGCCAATTTGTCTGGAATAAATACCTTCAGGAAACATTACTAGCAGGAACGTTAGTAAACTTTCACAGGTTCATATTAAGTAAATACTTGCAGGTCTTTACCAAAATTTTTTAAGAAATATTATTCAAGAGTTAATTTTACAGTGTGACTTCATGCTACTAAGAGCTTTCATATTACTTTAAAACAGAACTGTGTTTCAGTTCTTCGAAATTAAGGTATCAGCCCTCACCAGTGTCTGCTCAGTAAACTTCAAAATGTGCATGCAAATTTTGCTCTATGTGAAATAATAAATATGAACATGTTTGAGCATTATACTGTGGCAGTTCTCCATAGTACACAGTT